GACTGACTGACTGACTGACTGACGCTCGCTCAAAAGAAAAATGCGCACTAAGAGGTTTATGTATTTTAAAAGTGTTATCAACATCGTTAAATTCATTTAGTACTAACTTCATCAAAATAACTATTTGGTGTTCTTCATTTTTCGTCTTCTTTCGTCCAAATCCTGCCCTTGCTGACGGACCTCCTTAGCACCATCTACATCTCCAATATTTTCCAAAATGCTTGCCAGTTGGAAGTAAACAAAAGACTTGTTCGGATTCATAGATATCAGCTGAAAAATAAATGTTAGTGGTTACTGTACTACTTAAATTTGACCCAACCAGAATACAAGAAAGATAGATCTTGTCCAGTCACAATAGGGCTGATTACGTCACATCACAGTCACGACTTGACATCCCTTCGGTTTATCAGGGTGCGACGGGAGATCGCAGATCAACCGTTGAAAATGCTTTGAACAGTTAGTTTGCAAGCATGGCCGGGTCAGTACCTTGAGTAYGGAGTTATCCCAACTATTAAAAATACTTTCCATTTTCAGATTCTCATGGTCTATAACTACAACATTGATATTCACCAATTTTTACCTTGCGATATAATTTAGCTGCTTTATGGTATTCTCCCTGTTCAGAAATTTAAAAAAGGTCATTGGTATTAAAATCTGCTTGAAACCGCTTTAGGGTGTTTATGGTGGGAGAGTGCGTCACGCGTCCACTTTAATGCGACTGCAATGAAGATTATTGATGTTACCTTTCATGTTACCATTAATGTCACCTCTCCTCGCCTCTATATTTTCTAACCCCTTCCCCACCCCGCATCCTCTACCCTGCCCTGCCCTGCCCTCCTCTCCTCTCCTCTCCTCTCCTTGTGACATCCAAGAATTAATCATGCATAATACCTTGGCATTGATCAAGGAAGCATAATGCCAGTTACCATCAGCACTATCGGGATGGATTTTCAATGCTTCCTTTAGAATACTTTCTGCTATCTCCGGTCTTCGAAGTTTTACGTAGAACTTGGCCAAGTCAACTCTTGCGATTACGAACCAAGGGTCTAGAGCCACAGCTTTCTCCATAGCCTGAGATAGAACATGTACAGAATTGATTACATGATAAAGATTGATCGATAAACACTATACAGTGTGAGCAAGTGTCTCTTTAATACAAGGTACTCTTCCAAAATATAGGTTGCTCGCTAAATACTTTCCATATACGGGGTGTGCTTTCCATATACAGGGTGTGCTTCCCATATACAGGGTGTGCTTCCCATATACAGGGTGTGCTTCCCATATACATGGTGTGCTTTCCATATATAGGGTGTGCTTCCCATATACGGGGTGTGCTTCCTATATACAGAGTGTGCTTCCTACATATAAAGGGTGTGCTTCCTAGATACAGGGTGTGCTTCCTAGATACAGGGTGTGCTTCCCATTTGCAGGGTGTGCTTTCTACATACAGGGTGCGCTTTCTATATACAGGATGTGCTTCCTATATACGGGGTGTGCTTCCTATACACGGGATGTGCTTCCTTAATAGAAGTACAATGCTAAATAAACAATAAATATCTATATTTATCGCGAATGTACTCCCTAAATACATTTCTCAAAAATTCTATTTTGACCTGGAGTATTCGTTTAAAAGATACTCACGATTGTAGGTTTTTAACTTTCAAGACTCACCTTAATCGCATCTTTAAAGTTCCCTCGGTGGAAATATAGAGTGGCCAGTTTATGGAGTGCCTCAGAACTCGCTGTAAGTAATGTAAACAGAAAATCTTATCTTAAGGCTGGGATTATCTTTTAAAAGACTTAAACAGTGACTCGGGTTTATTGCAGTGATGCGACCGAAGAGGAAAAAAGGGGCTAAAGCTAGCGCAGTCACGAGTCTTAATTGTAGTTAATATTCTAAGCAGGTTTTTCTTTTAATGAAGTTTCAAAACATTTGGAAGTGGGAAGGGGTGAGGGGGAGGGAGAAGGGGGGAGGGGAAGGGAGAAGGGGGGAGGGGAAGGGAGAAGGGGAGCTAGGGGCGCTAGAGTCACTATAGCCGCCCTACCCGCGTGGTCCTTGGTCCATGAAAGCACTGCACAATGAATTAGAATCATTAGTCTTGTTTACCTGGAAGCATAGAGACGATTTTCTTGTATTTCTTTTCCACTTGGTCAAACAATGGATCGTCAGGACTTTTTGCCTCCCTGACAAGATCTCCTAGCTGACCTGATGCTGATTATAAGTAAATAACAAATAATTCATTATTAAATAGTAATGTAYAAGAGTGATAAACGTAAAGTATCTCCTGTATGTTCTCGGCTAGGACATAGCCTCTATTCTACTGGTTTCCTCCATCTTCTGTATCCCTATCGCTACATTATCTCCTTTATTACTCTATCAATACTATCATTGTCATACATACCCTGGTAGGACATGGCCTCTATTCTAGTGATATCCTCCATCTTCT